TAAAAAAAAAAAAAAAAAAAAAAAAGCTCTTTAATCCAACATGTTGATTTGTACAGTAGACAGATCATTGAACGATTTAATTATTTAACCACAAGCACATACATTTACTTTAACTTGCACAAGCAACAAGTTGTGAGTTGCTACCACCTGCAGGCAAGACCCACCTATTTTATTTTACCTACCTATTGCTATGTCTATCTCAGTCATTTTCAACCTTCTTGGCTTCATAGCACCCCTCCAAAACTTTTCAAAATTTAGCAGCACCCCATTTAAAAAGCAAATTTAAATACATTATGCATGGTATAATATAAACATTATAATTATTTTATTAATTAATATTTTAATAACGGATTCAATCATTATAATTATATTATATTCACTGCCACTGCTGCTATGGCCAGGTGGAACTGTGCCATGCACCTCCTGCAGGGACAGATCAGGAAGTGGCTGTGGCAGGAGCTCATGCTTTTGCTACAGCCCTTCCCTATCTGACCCTGCACTGTGTCTCCTAAAGGCAGAGGGGGCAGATGGAACTACTCCATGTACCTATGTTTTCAGGAGGCATGTCAGAGCTGAACTGAGAAGCAGCTGCAGCAGACAGTTGTGCCTGCTTGCAATACATTATACAGGCAGGCATACCGCTTCTGCAGCAGCTCTTCCAGATTTAGCTCTGATGTGCCTCCTCAAAACTGAGGTATGAGGGGCAGTTGCACCCTGCAACGGCAGCCGTAGCAGCACCAATATTGCAGCACACTGGCAAGTTCTCAATGCCATGGCACTCCAGTTGAGAACCACTGGTCTACATCATGGGGTTTATGCTGCTGCTACTTTAACTGGAAGCAAAATGGTCAACACAGACCTCAGCGGTAGCCAGAGAACATGCTGGCAGCAGGAGTATGTCTGCCACTGCAAGTTATACCAGCTCCTCTGAATAGCAGACACTTTTTTCTACTAGGAGAGCTGTAAGTTTGCTATATCAGCTGTGGGGCATCATCTTTACACATCTCTCACCAACAAGTGCCTTACAGACAAGGCATGTAAGGCAATCCTATTAGAAACATCATATGCAATCTGGTAAGGATGGAACCAGTATAATTTGATTAAGATTACTCTATAGAAATAGCTATATAATTTAATGAGGAATAACACATTCATTAAACATTCCTAGAGAACTTAGCATTTTCTATTCCTTAAAGAGAATTCTACAGGCTGGTTTAAAAATGCTGTAGAATGGATAGCAAAACATTTCAATAGTTTTCAATATGGAAATCATCATCATCCAGTAAGAATTTCTCATTCCTTTTATACAATTCAGACTTCTAATCATTTTAAAGCATTGTTTAAATATGGCCCTGATTTTGGGGGTAGTTCACCTAATGACTGAGATGCCAATCCCACCAAAGCTTTATACTGTGAGTGGGGGCAGCAGGTACACTAAGCTTTGTAATAGCCTCATATGGGAGGCCTGAGGTCGAGACACACCAGCGCCTACATTAAGGGTGCAAAACAAGGAGCTACTTGTAGCTGCTGAACTGTAGCAGTGCCCTTGGAAAGTAGGATCAGGAGTAAATGATTAATTTAATTTTCTTTATTCTGTCTGTTGTGGTGCATACACAGCCCAGTTATTCAGATCCTATGTAAAGGACGTGAGTGTTATTCCCTGAGCAGGGACAGATCCAGGCAGGTGCAGTAGAACAGCTACACTCCCTTTTAATTGCTGGTCCACCCAAAGTTTAAAGCAAACTACTGGGCAGTGGCAGCATGTTCTATTCAGGGAGTGGTGAGAGATTTTCTTGACTTCATGGCTCATTATAATCTGCCTGATTCCTTCTAAACTCTTCATTCCACAGGTGACCCTCTCTCCTTTTTTAATGGTCTTAATATTCTACTAACTAAACTATTCTTTCTTTTGCAATTCTGTTGTCTACTAGCTGCTCCTGGTGATGTAGCTCCTATTTCACTGCCCTGAAGATTGTTTTTAACTCTAGCTAAAATCATTAACTCAAGGGTGGAAATAACCCTCAGTGAATCACTGGATGCACTGTCAAGATGCTCAAGACAACCTGATTTTGTCTTATGAATCTGAAAGAGATGTGCATTTAATTCTAAAGACTACAGAACTAAAGAAACAACATTAGAGAATTTTTTTTACCTAGTTTGTTGTGTATTATATAGAAAATTAATGCACATTCCAATAAAGGCATATTTATTTTTGCTTCCACTTTAAACTGAATAATATGGCCCTAAGGCCCCTAACCATATTAGTAAATCTTTTAGTTTCTTTTTACCAGGAGAAAAATTATGTATTTTAAGTGAAGATGCATGTCACCATCTGTACCCCTATTTTCAAAATCCTAGAGCCTTCCATGTCCCTGAGTATATTCACCTTTAAGGACTTTGTGAATCTGTTTTATATTCTTTAAATCAGTTTAATGCTTATGAAGGCTTTGAAGGTGGTAGCGTAGGAGAAAAAAGACTCTCTATTTACACCCAGAAGAGCTAAAAGCTTCCCCATCCTTGCCTCAATCCTTACCGAGAGAAAGCACCTTGGCAAGTGATAAAATAGTTCACTTTTCTCATTTATAGCATCACAAGGTTGCAAGGAACCTGGGTGGTCATCTGGGCCAGTGGTCTCCAAACTTTTTTGATCACACACCCCTATCAGTAAAAAATTTTTGACCATGCACCCCCAATATATGTATATTTATATAAATATAAATAGAAGTTCTAATATTTTCTTCCCGCACCTCAATGGATCGTCTTGCGCACCCCACTTTGGAGACCACTGATCTAGGCAACTTCCTGCACAGCTCCAGGATGTATTGTTTTTAAACTATTCCATTCTATGGTCCTCTTCACCTTATATTCCTAAGCAATATAAACTGAAGACAATTTCCCCTTTTAAAATGATTTCTAAAACATAACATGATCAAATAAGTAAATGCTCCAAAAACTAAAAATATGTTTTCTAAAAAGACCATTAAGGCCAAGTGGAAATTTTATTCCATTTAGACGTAGAACATACCAGTATCAATTCTACCATATTATCTACACACTCAAGTAATAAAAAGTAAGGACATGAACAGCTAAGGATATAATAAACAAATAACTTATTCTTACCAAGTTTAATTAAACGTTCTTTAAGTTACAACACAACAGCCTAAGCTCAGATTCACAGGTTGTGGTTTTCTTTCTTTCTTCTTTTTTTTTTTTTTTTTTTTTTTTTAGGGGTTTATTTTTTTTTTAAATTATCGTTA